ACATAAAAACCCACTCGCTGTCATATCGCTATCATGATCGTCCAGAGGGAGATTGCCATGGCCAAGTGTTTGAACAATTGCTTTGAATGGTAACTATAATCCTCCAAAACACAAGCTGATCACATCATGTGTTTAAATAGTCGTGACAAAAATTATGGATTAAGCTTCCTGTGTGACCAGCACTTTAATGAGATGCGTTTTTTATCCCAGTAAACATCCTGCAGTCTCGTTTGATGATTTAGTGATGAGTCAGTGTGTATTACGCAACAGTATCCAGTTAGTCCAAAACCAGAGGCAAAATCTCACTTAAATATGGCGTTAGAGCCCAGGACTGCAGCCTCGCTCAAACAAATATCAGCACATATCAGTTCTCTAATAACTGCTACTGTGGCACGAGATGTAAATGTTCCTTTGTTAAGTGTCCAGCACTTTGAAATCTGAAGCTTTTTAGAGGCGTGAATCAATAAGGAAATGTCAAACGATTAGAATGTTTGAAGATTCTCGGTCATCCGGGTCGTCATATGACTGTAGTCGAGAGGAGAGGATTGATTTTTCATTTTTCCTTTTCTTAAGCACATCTTAACAAAGAGCCTTCTTCAGATCTGAACCGGTCTGAACTTGCAGTAAGTAGCTTCTCTTCTTGAGAACTGAAAAGAATCACAAGCAAGTCCAGTTGGTTAGATTCTACATTTTATGTTTAACTGCATAGTTAGAGCATCTTCTCGAAGTGCACAGGGTCTTTCATCTCTCAGGAAGTGAAGAAACAATGAGGTGCTCTGATGAGGGACACGATAAAAGTTTGCGCTTTTTCCTGTTTTTGATTATATATTTTGAGGAAAATATATTGTTTGATTTATTTTGCCTTCAGTTTGATGCAGTGCCTTTTTTGTCTACTTTGCTAAAAGCAGTGCCCCTCATGCATTCATTTATGAACTGCAGTATAAAAAGCCGATCTGTGTAAACTGTTTCAAGGGTCAGTACAGTTTTTTGTCTAAAATTTTGTTTATTGGTACGTTTTTCACTTGCAGCAACTGCAAAAGTACCCGAGGATCTGTCTGTACAATATCTGTACATATGAAATAAAAAGAACTTAATGTTTAATATTTATTAAAGTTTAAATGCCTGTGGAAGTTTGCAAATTGACAAGTGGTTGACGTGTGATTTTTTTTTTTTTTTTTAATGACCTTATTCATGCTGCTGTGGCCTTTTATTCACCACTTCATCAATAACTTCGTCAAAAGCTATCTCATCATATGCGTATACACTCTCTGTCCGGTAGGGGGCGACAAAACACAGTTTGTTTTTTGCAATCTTTATTTTTTAGCTGCTCTTTTCGATAAATGTCAAGGTGAGCAGCTCAACCAACAACCTGTTCACTCCACTGTTACACCAACCGTTTGTTGGAGCAACTTCTTCTCTTCTCTTCTCTTCTGCCTGGCAACTCTATCTTTAACTTCCTGTATCCAAAATATCCTTAAAAACACACTTCACAACCACTCCTAAGCTTTTTATGATACTTCTTAATGTTTTTCTATTCTTAGTTCTTAGTTCTCTTTTTTTATTAATATTTGGTTATCACTAGCTCTGATTTATTTAAGTCCGGGGCTTGACTTTTATTTTATTGCTAATGATAATGTTAGACAAAATACTGACTTTTTTATTTCATTTTATTTGAGTGGTCGGCCTCCATGGTGTTTGTCCAGAAAAATTCTCTGACAAATATAGTTACTGACCCCTGAGTACACAGAAATACAAGCTGGGCCTCTGACCTGTAGTTGAACTCTGTGGCAAAGGTAAAACGATTACCTTTTCCACAGCGTGTTCCACTAACAACATGTAAATGTATCCACTGTGTTAACCTTCCCAAAGGTTAACACAGTGAGGTGCTATTTTACGCCTGAGGTGCCTTGGTGAAACAAATACCTTTACCACAGTGTGTATAAATAACAAAATAAGTGTCAGATGGTGGAATTATGGGAGGGTGTGTGTCATTCTGTTCATGCGTTGATACTCTTATCAACATCATAATAGTTGGAAGTACATGGAAACTATAGCAGGCCTACAGCTTTACTTGCATTATCCTTGTATCTGATTCAGTGTGGATCTGCAGCTTACATACACTGTACACACGTTCAAACTGGACTCTTTCTGCAGAGGTGTTTACTCCTACCATGACTCCTCTGTGTCTGTCAGCACCGTGGAAGGCCCCACTGATTAGTTTACTCAGGATCTGTTGTGCAGAACACTTTACAACAAATGAGGCGTTCATGGTCAACAGCACTTTCTGTTTATTACCATCTACACTCGAGGAGACCACGAACATAACGTGAGCGCACGCTTGCATATACTTTAAGAATACAGTGAAGGTCTGTGACAGATTCAACCTTAGTCTTTGTAATTTTCTGAGTCAAAAGACAGAATCACATCTGCGTTGAGCTACGGCACTGGTTTCTAATCTGTCTCTTCAGCGCCACCTTTTGTAAATAAGACTTATACTTCAATACATTTGCTATGAAGTTCAGAGCAGACTGTATTCAAAAATAAGAATCTTTTAAGTTGAGTTGTTAATTTCGTGAAACATAAATGACATTTTTTAAGTTGAAGAAATGATATTGACAAAGTGAGACGAGGTTCTCGATCTTTTTTTCTTCTCGTGATACTAATTTGAAACACATTAAAGGAGAGTTTACTGCAGTTTTCCTCATTGAAAACTAATGTGATTTGCTTTGTACGCAAAATGGCACATGGTTTGAAGTCAGAAGGATCATTTAAAAAAGTTTTTAAATGTGATAAATAAGAAGCTTTTTATGCGTACTGATATGACTATTAAGGTCACAAATATTTACCAAGAGACTTGCATCATAACATTCACTAACAAGTTTCCCCTGAGTGGTTTTATCTGATTATTGAACCCCCACCCCGCTGCCTTCCAAATTCCTTCTTGGAAGAAGTCACTCTTCTTTGAACGCTAATGATTGCCAACATTTTCAAATGATACAGGCATTTCCCAGAAGCCCTGAAAGTAACTTGAAACTGCTGGCAGATTAGAATCAATAACCAGACTCAACAATAGGAGCCATTTCTAACTTAAAGCCTCCATAAATTTCTGGTCTGTAATTAAACACAGACATTATCTCCTGTAGAGTGGCACTGCATGAACGTTAAAGTTCTCTTAGCTATTAGCATTATCCATAATTTGATTGCAACAAGGTTTTATGCTGTTGGAAATTGCCGGGTTTTCTAAAATTAATTTGTCCATTTGTGAGCCTGAACAGGAGCCGGTGATGACACACAGCTGCTTATTTTCCTCAGCAAAACTGCTGTTTTATTATTATTATTATTATTATTATTGATCAATGAAGAAAACCCAGAGTAGAAATGGATGAATGCTGTCCTTGCTATAAATTCTCTGTCCTCTCGGCCTCCTGTGGGTCATAAAGGTGTATGTGTTTGTGTGAGGGTCAAGAGCTAGGGCAGGGGTGTCGAACTCACATTTAAAACCTGGGATGAAGTCACTGGCCAAATTTATTTATTGAAAAAATTGATGGCAGATCCAACAACAACAACGACAAAAACATATGTGCTATAACATACACCGCTAATACTACAATTCCTGTAACAACAACAACAACAACAAAAATATATGTGCTATGACATACACCGCTAATACTACAGTTCCTGCCATTTGATATGATCTTGCAGGCCAAGTATAATGACACTGTGGGCTAGATTTGGACCCCGGGCCTTAGTTTGACACGTGTGAGCTAGGGAATGAAGTGCTTACCGGGTTAAAAAAAAAACCAGTGCTTGTGTATGTGTGTGTGTGTGTGTGTGTATGTGTGTGTATGGCTAATTTAGCTCCTTGTGACTAGTCCACTAGAGTGCCATAAAAAGAACAGAACAGTCTTTTTATAGGCCGGGTGCATTAGGAGACATGAATCATGAGATGGAGGGGCTTCTTTTGCCTCTGGCACACGACGGCACGTGTTGAGTCTCAGTCACTCCAAACATTGGACGACGTGTTGAGTCTCAGTCACTCCAAACAGACATTGGACAGGATTGTTGACTGACAGGTCAAAAGTGCAGGATGCAAAACGCATGTTTTTGTATGTTCAACGTCTCACTGAAAATAAAAATACGTTTCCGAGGAAGGTTTATGGGCTCAGTCTCAGCTGGAGGCTGAATCTCTGTGGGATTACTGTGATCCCTGTGATGAACCCTGTCCCTCGGCTGTGACCGCACACCGCACGTTTCTTTCCTAGATATGATTTACTTGGACTTTTTCCACACACAGCACTGACACCTCTCTCTGCTCTGGGTCGTCGTCCTGTAGTGTTTGGCGTCGTTCCTTTTCTCTGCACAGTTGAATATTTTAATGTGGTTCGTTCCTTTTATGTCTTTTAATATCAGTTCAGGTTTTAGATGTTAGAAGCTGTAGATTGGGTTTAACAGCGTTCTCCTCTCCCCTGCAGGTGGTGCTGTGCAAGGGTTGAGTACACTTACAAGTGCGTTCAGTGTTTGCTTTTGCAAATGTATTATGTGCATTCTGAAACTTGAAACACACAATTATATGTACACATATATAAACATATGCATATATATATATATATATACATATTTGTGTGTATTTAAGCACTATATGGAAATGTATAAATATGTGTGTCTTTATAGATGTATATAACATGTATATATATACAAATATATTTTTATATACAGTATGTATATGTAGAGAGATCAATATATACATATACTGTAGACAATTGTGTATTTGTATATACAGTATATATATATATATCTGTGTGCATACGGGAAAAAATCCAAATTAAAGAGATTATTTAAATATATAATACTGTATAATATAAATAAAATATAATATATAATATATATAATATGAATAAAATATAAAATATTATATAATATGAATATAATACAATATTATATTTGTTATTTTTACACATATGTATCTGTATAAAAATAACAAATATTTAAATGAATCTCAGTACAAATAGTATAAAAATATGCCACATAATTAACTGCACGCTGACTTTACAGTACACACGTGTAAAATCCGTTTCTCTCACCAAAATAAGTCATTGCAAAAATTGTTGCTGAGAACAATGGTTTCCTGTATTCAGGGTTGTTTTGTCCCTAATTGCCGCACATGATTTTAAAAACCAAACCCTGTAGTGAGTGTCTGAACAATGATCCTGGTCTCTGACCAGTGAAGCCCTGTGTGCAGCTGAGGACCACTTCAAACGTCCAGCTTCATCATTGTTTCAGTTGAACTCTGCAGCCGAAACATGTGCGGAGGGCTCACGTGTTCGTCAAACCTCCTGTATGAAGCCCATTATATGCTTCAAACAAATGGCCGTTAAATGTCTTCACATCATCCGGCCATTATGTGCATTTTTGTTACCACGATGCATCATTCATTCTGGCATCAAAATTACAAGGAGCCACTGCCTCCGCTTACAGTCGGCCATTTTTAGAAATGACGGCTGTAAATAAAATTACAGCTCAAAATAAACCACCTCATTTCTTTTCAGTTTTTTTTTCTTTTTTTTTTTGTGTTAGTTTTGTGATGACTTCGATTGCCCCTCATTTCCTTCTTTAATTTCTCACTTCTTCCCTCCTTCCAAATGTTTTTCTGTCTCCATCAATACCATCGACCAATGACAGCGAGCGCTGGGGCTGAGGAAATGGATGGTGTGGCTATTTTTAGAATCAGGGAAGGAGGGCAAAGCTAAAGTGAGGAACGGGAGGGTGAGGTAGAGGAGGGATGTGAGGGGAAGATAGAGCTTTATTCTGCCTCTGCCTCTGGTCAGAGACAGTCGGAGCTTCAGAGGAGCAGCAGCATCACCGGCTGCAGACCAAGCATCGTTTAAAAGACATTTAAAGAAGAAGAAGAAAAAAAGACACATTTAGCAGTTACAAACCTGCAGAGTCTTGACTAAGACTGCAAGAGAAGAGGGACAAAGACAGAAGGAGTCGACAGGGACAAAGCAGGTAAGTGTGCAAGACAATGTGTACATTTTTTTTACCTTTTTTTTATCATGCAAAATGTTAAAAACAAATGCCTGTTCTGAGCTCCTACACTTCAGAGTGGCTGTGGTGAGGTCATTTTTAGCTGTTGTGTACCTAAGGTGTGGTCTAAATTTAGCCGTGGCTACACCTTGGAAGAAACAGGGAGAGGCTGGTATTTTGGTTTGGCTGGCACTATTTTTGGCACGGGGGCTGAGACAGAAATACACCGTGGTCCACACTCTGGGTTCTAACAATACGGTGTTGTACAGTCAGACACACTCTGTGGCTGACGAGCTATTAAAAATAGGGATCTGTTTACGCCGCCTCTTGCTGCTCCCATTCAGGGATTTGTTTGTATTGAGGGCTGTTTACACTGCCACTCCAAAGTAAGCAGACAGCCCCAAACCGGGAAGAACGGGGAGAGTCGGGAGGGGCATGGGGGGGGGGGCACGTTCAATATGTTACCACCCGAAATAGACGTCTGGCTTTAAAAATGCCTCAGAACACTATCTATAAAAAAATAATAAAATAATAATAGCACTGAATTACAGAGAGTGAGTGGCACATCCTACATATATACACATATATATCATATAAATGTGATACTATACACATACTGTCTGTATATCTAGGATTAAATACATATATGTACATATGTAATTATATATTTTAATATAGCATATTTTCTGGACTATAAGTCGCACTTTTTTTCATCCTTTTGCTGGGTTTGCGAATTATATATTAAAATATATAATTTCACATGTTTGTTATTTTCACACCGACAGCCGCTAGAGGGCACTGGTGCGATTTATATGTGTTTGGTTTTTTTTTGAAGACAGTACCTGTGTACAATTTACTGCAGTACTGAAGACAGTATCTGTCATTCAGATACACAGAAGGTTTTAGGTTTTTTTTTTCAAATTCCAATGGTTTTTCTATCAGATAGAAGTTCAATAAAATAAGCTGAAGATTTCATTATAAAAGTTTGTCCATCCGTCCAGACTTTAGTGCCCCCCTCGCTCTCTCTCTGTCTCTGTCTCTGTCTCTCTCTCTCAGCTATGCGACCGCGGTCCAGACTGCTGGCTCTGTCTCTGTCTCTCTCTCTCTCTCAGCTATGCGACCACGGTCCAGACTGCTGTCGAAGAGAAATCTCCTGCTGCCCACAATCAGAGAGGGCACAGAGGAAACAGTGAAGGATCTGAATGAGGCCAACACGCTTCACATCCCCGGCCAGAACCAGCCCATGTCCTCAGAGGACTACCTCCTCTCCATCTGCCACCTCGCCCACCCCACATTCCCCATCAGAGACGTCGCCCATGACAACCTCCACGCGGGGCAGCTGGATGCCGCGCACCAGAGACTGAGGATGTCACGGCACAGCGGGAAGACGTCGAGGAGCCTGCGATTCAGCAGCACGGCCGAGGAGCAGGCCGTGGACGTAGATCAGGGCGAGCAAAGACGGCTGATGTTCGGCAACTCTGACCCTCTGGAGTATCTTTACGGACACCAGCACGACCACCTCTCAGGAGGAGCCGGGAGAGCCTTTGTCAAGGACGGCACTTTATGGGAGACTCGCTCCAGAGCCCACAGCATCCCCCGAGCCTCTAGTCCCGTCCTCCCACGTGAACGCAAGACCAGCTGCCCACACATACACGCCTGCTCTGACACCTCCGTACCAAATATCTCGCCGAAGCACAGTTCCTCTCTCAGGTGTGAGACTCAGAAGGAGAACCCAAAAGAAACAAGAAGTGAGGAGGTGCCACAGAAATCCACCTTCAAACAGTCCCTGATCTCCCAGTGGATCTCTGACTGCAGGTCTGCGTGGAGGCAGGCGCGTCTGCACGCCTGCATGCTGCCCGCCATCGCAGAGATGTGAACGGACGGACGTGGAGACAGAAGATGTAAAATATCCCGGGTCTGTTAATGTCACTGCATGAGATCACTGTATAACAAGACCCAGAAGAAATGTGTGTTTTATGCATATGTACAGTACATGGTGAGGATTATTAAATACACAGGCAGGCGCAGTACACCGTGCCATGATTGTCTGACTGTAACGTTACACCAGTGCCATTATCTGCCGTCCACTGTCCTCTTGGAAATCTGCAAAATACTTTTTTATACCCGAGTTGTGAAGTGTGCATTTAAAGTGAATAAAGTCATATTTTGATACAGCAAAGAAAACTCACTGATCGTTGTTTGTCTTCCTGCTTCAGTTGCTGCTGCGTTTCACGTGTCAAGCGTTCGATAAAGGCCTCCACGCTGCACTCTGTGGTGCCTGGAGCTGGAGTTTCTATGGTAACATGCGTAGGATCCTGTGCCGGTAAACATGCAAGTGTGGAAAAACACAGGCCGCGTGAAGACAGAGAAAACACACACACACACACACACAACATCTGTCGCTTCTATAAATCACCTGCAGGTCAGGAGAAACCAGAACTACGAATGTGTGATGGTTGTCTTCATCGTAACGCGTTTGAGATTTTATTTTGTTATCATGGATAAAAATGTTAACAAAATCAAAATCATTTAATTCATCCTGGTGGTTGTTATACTATAAGGTGAGGACTGTACTGTAGAACAATCTGATCAAAAAATAATTTGGCAGCCTGGTTGCAGTTTTAAAAAGAAACACTAGAGGGCACAATAGGGCTGTATTCGTTACATTATCACTCGTTTCATGCTGTTTTTAAACGTCAACGTTCCTAAATTCGTCGAATGAAGCTGAATGAATTTAGATTATGAATGACATCAGTTCGTGAATAACTTAAAAAATGCTCTTTGTCTTTTTAAATCACCGGAAATGTTTTTTTTTTTACTTATTGCTTTATACATGTTAAATAATTCTCCTGGAATTGGTTTTGTTCGAGTTTCAGGATTCCATTTATATAAAGCAGTGCTCTTTTTAGCAGTGTTCGTCTGTGGTTCTCCAACTTTTTTCTGCTCTGTACCACCTGAGAAAACATTGATCTCTCTGAGTACCACCATGATGACCAACATTAGAATACAGCAGCGTAGGCCTTCACTGTTAGCCTCCAGCACAAAGGAGAGATGTTTATGAATGTTTATAAAGATGTTTATATTTAAATGTCATAATAATTGTGCCTGGTATATTTCATATTTATTCCAATTAAAAAAATGTAAATGTGAAAATGTGAATTTTCCCCGTGTACCACTGGTGGTACCACAGTTTGAGAACCACTGATATAAAGCAATGCTCTTTATAGTACTGTACATGAAACGTGGCTTTTCGACGGTGTAGCGCCACCTGCAGGACAGTAAAGGGCGCTAAATGCTCAACGTTGACGAAATATTGCTCAGCCCTTCGTTGTCCTGGACCAAAACACATGACTAACATTTAATTTGGAGGTCGAGGGAGCACATTAATTTGTATAAAAGCAGCGTAATACGTTAGCATGGTATTAGCCAACGATACATTATGTTCGTCACCTGATGATTTGTTATGTTTTTGGTCTGATTTCCCATGTTAAAAACTATATGTATCCATGATGAGTGAATAGCCGCTCCTTTGTGGACGGAGCCTTCCGGCTTCCAGCCCTCGCTCTAAATATTTTGTGGAAATCTTAAAAAAGGTTTAACATTTACTGGGGAATTTCTCCATTTCTAATGTAGTAGTGAATGTGGAAATCAAGTGAAGGAAATGAGAAGTGCAACCTCACTGACAGAAAAACCATCGGAAGAAAAGACAACACTGACGTTACTAGTTCCTGTGTGTTCACGTCAACAATCTGCACTATGAGGAACAGTAGATCGGCTCTGTCACAGAAAAAAAGTTAATAAAGACGACCATACTTGACAATCCCCCCAGCATATCCTCACCCACGACCCCCACTACACCACTGACACCTAAGAGACTCACAGCACCATGGTCCCGATCAGAAAACTTTCCACCCCTGTGGTTTGAAGTAAAGGAAGTGGCTGTACTTTCTAAAGCTGCTGCACTTGTCAACCTCACAATTTAATAATGAAAGAAAGATTTTTTTAAAAATAGCTTGTATGTCAGAATGAGTACTGATTTCTGGGTACTGCATAGTGGCCAGAAAGTGGCCTACTGTGCGTTGATCGCTTCTTCTCTGGAAGAGGCTTCAGTTTGATGAGGCAGCAAACTTAACAAACATTTGCAACAGAAAACAACAAAAAAAGTCTAATTAAATAGCTATAATTTAACGACTTAATAAAATATCCACAACCAATAATATAATATACTGTAGTTAAAATGTGAATGAAAATAAAAGGTATTTAAGGATTTATTTCCTGGGGTGGGGGGGTCTCCAATCACCAAAACCCAAAATTGATGATTGCAAAATATTCCAGATAAGTTGCAACACAGGCAGGTTTTACACAATTTTTCAGATTAATTTGATGATTTGACATTTTCCCTCGTGCCCCCATTTCTGCTTGAATCACTCCCAATCTGTGGTCACCAACCAAGGAACTTCAAAGGAAATGTATGTATCTCAAAAATTTGGAAAAGGATCTTTCATATCTGTGGCACTTTGGCCCAGAGGCAACGTCTCTGGGCCAAAGCCCAGGATAATAAAGGATAAACAATGGCAGAAAGGATTAGAAATTAATAAAGACCAGCTAGCATTTCTTAGCTTGTTTATATCGAATTAAAACAAATAATCTCAATAAAAACCATAAACTCCTCACACACACATTTCTGCATGGAGGAAACAGGAACCCAGCAAATTGTTAGCGTTAGCTTAGGCAAATACAGCGAACAGATGAGTTGAAACAAAACATTTGGTTGCAATTTCTTTTTCTCAAGGGAAATTTTTTTGTGTCAAATTAAAACTTCAGTTTGAAAGAACTGCAGGACGAGAACAGATAGACATAGTCTGTCGGTCTGATATTTGTACCTGACCTAGTGTTAGAGCAAAATAACATTTCTGCGGCCTTGTGGTTAAAGTGGTGGACTTCAGATTGTAGGGTTGCAAGTTGAAATCCCCACCGTTTTGGTGTCTACACAAAAGAAAGCACCGAGAAGTTTGTCAAGTGTGTATTTGTATAATGACTAAAATAAGCTGGGATATTTTGTTTAATTCCTAAACTCATGCTATGCAAACCCTATATTCCCAGAATCAAAGAAACGAGAACAGGAAGTTTAAAAAAAAAAAAAAAAAACAGGACTGAAGTGAAACTGACAAACGGACACAAGGAGACACAGGATTTCACATGAAGTGTTGTGTTTCTTCGCAAACGTTGTGTCTGGAGGAGGCGTTAATGTCACACTATGATAACAATCCTCACACAGATAAGGTTTCAGATGATAATATTAATGCTAATCATCTCTGCCGTTATACTGCAAACCAATGTACAATGAAAGATCACCCTGTGTTACTTTCCATGACTCACATTGGATCTGTATTCATGGTGTTAACCTCAAACACCAGCGCCCACACGTTGTCCTTTAAGAATTCACCCACACGTCTCCACCCACTCCACTTGACGTTCTACATCTGATTTTAAAAAAAATCAGATTTTATTAATTGCTAATATATTGAAAACATTTTACAAATACATATATATATATAATGTTATATGTAATATTTTAGTTTGTTCTGTATTTTGTGGGATTGTCAAAGCTAACGCGTTAAGGGCAATAATTCATTTGTGAAATTAAAATTTTATTGACATTTTTCCATGTTAATAATTCTGTCATTTGCAGTACTTACAATTAAAAAAAATGTTTTTGTCATATTTTGGAATCTTTCCAGTGGACTCACCACCCGCAGGAAGGTTTAGGGGGGTTGGTACGGTGCAACGTGATATGGGTGGCGACTGCTGCCCCCGCAACCCGGTAACGGACAAGGGGATGAAAATGGATGGATGGATGGATGGATGGATGGATGGATGGATGGATGGATTTTGGAATCTTTAGAATCCATTTTTGAATGGATGTATTATATCAACATATAAAATTGATAATATGGTTTGTAAAATATGTGTTTGTTTTATGGTATATGATTGTATGTAGATGGGAGTATTAAGTTATACCTAATTAGTCAGCTTGCTTGCTAACCGCAAAACAACACAGAGATACACTTCAGGTCGTTGTATGTGATAGCTGTGACTCATTACTTGGATGATATAGTATTACTACGGTACTAAAAAAGGTTCATACACTGCAATACTGCCATGATTTCAATTTCAATGATTACAAACAGAAATGAAACAAAGATGAAAAGTGATGCAATTTTTCTGAAACACTTCTCAGAAGTGAAATTCAGAATAATGTGTTTTTAAAAAATGATAAATAATAATATCAATATAATAAAATATAAATGTATTATTTACTTTGTATTGTTAATAAAACTCAGTAGAACACTGACTGTACAGTACTGTATACACATTGCTATCTTTTCACCGTGTTTTATTAAAACATTTTAAATGTTATTAAATTTCATTTTAATTTTACATTAAAATCTATCAAGTCCATTGAGACAATTATGTTTTGTGAATTTGTGCAACACATAAAATTGACTCAACTTGACTTTCACATTGACACATTCACATTCTACTTTGAAATATTAAAGTGTTTTTTAAATATTTAATTTAAATGTAAATCTATAAAATGCATTTTCTGTGAATTGCTGATTGAACAAAAAAAACTCACTGGACCTGCTGATGTGGCCTTTCAAATAAATGAAGTTGTTAAAATTAACTTAACTTCTAGTTTCGAGAATCCCACCTCTTTTTTAATAATACTCAGATGGGTACTCGGATGGATTAGGAAGTACCGATGACCCAGCTTGTGGTTTTGTAGTTTCACTTTCCACTGGTTGAAAAAAGTCCCTGTGACCACAGGAAAGATGAGGCGTGTGTCTGAGGAGGATATTTAAGACGACCCCTCAGACTTCAACCCTCACACTTCAAGACTGCCTTACCAGCTCCTCGGTGTCATCTTCACTACAAACACCAAGATTGTTCTGCAGCACCTTTGTCATCTTGACCAAAGAGGAAACCGAAAATGTTTGTCATCGTCAAAGTGTTTATGCTTCTGGCTGTCGCGGCCTGCGTCGCTAAAACACAGCGTGAGTTTGAATTTCTTATTTTGGAATCTGTTTGACTGATTTCTTTTTAAAAAGGTTGTAATTCCTTATTATAAATACTGTATTGTTATTATAATTTTGTTTCTTTTTTTTTCTTTACAGCCAGTTTATCAAACGAGAACTGTTTGTGTAACCGTGTGAGGAACACTCTTATCAAGTCAGAAGGTGTCAGGGACATCCAGATTTACCCACCAACAGTTTTCTGCAGCAAAATGGAGATTGTGTAAGTTATAATACACAATTACAACGATAACAGTTTTAGATAGCGCAACTAATGTTAACAATTTGATCTTTACTGACGTCTGATGAGACTCAGTCTCATCAAACCAAGACATCAGAAACATTTTTTGTCCAATGGTTTCTGTATAAATCATGCTTTATTTACAAGGCAACAAAAAGTGAATTATACATACATTGGTGATGCTCACTAACCTCTACTCTCCTCCTGAACAGTGTGACATCCAACAAAGGTCGTCGCTTCTGCCTGGACCCCAACAAAATAACAGTGCAGACTCTCATCCACAATATCATGTGAGTAAACAGATCTGAATCTGATTCGTTCTTGTCCTGTGGTTAAAATGAAATTGAAAAAAAAAAAAGAAAGAAAGAAAGCTCACTTCCTGTCTTCAGTAGTAACGTGACTAAAATTTCCTTTTCCTCTTTGCTGGCCATTGTCTTTTCCAGGAGAAAAGTCAAGCCAACTCCAGTCACTTCCACCGCCAACATCGGACTTTCTCTTTAACTCCATGGACGAATGTCAACACGTGACCTCCAAACGCCATATCAAGCACCTTAAATGAATGTTACTGTGAACTATTTGTGTCAATTTGTCTGTCTCTAATTATATGTCTTTTATTGAATAAATATAATAATAACATAAATAAAAAAAGACTGTTAAAGACTGTTGAACAAATGTTTCATTTCTTTATTCAGAGACTTTTGTTCGCTCGTATCAGTGCCATCTTGTGACTTAAAGTTGCAAATGCATTTCGGTGACTGCTCGTTGAGGATGAGAAAAATAAACCGACATTTTTAAAAGAGCTCATCGCGATTTAATGTTTCTACAGGACATTAAATAACCAATTCACATGATACGTATTCAGTCCTCAAGACGAAATTGTAAAGTATAATATTACCAACTTTACGACAACCACAAAAAATAAAACAATAAAATGCATATTTTCACATTTTTATTGCTATTTGAATTATTTATCTGTTTGTACGGATCCCATAAAAAGAATGAAGTAGAATATTCTTTTCCATGTCCTTTCGTGTGGGTGCTCCGATCCATAGGAGCCGCTGGGTGTCGCTGTTTCACCGTGGTGAGTTGTCCTTCTATAACCTCTGCTTAATATTCAGAAGTCAGGGATGGAAACGGTCGCTGTTCAAACACACTGCATTAGTTGGTCTAAGACCCAACACTTAAGTCCTGGATCAACGTGAGCCGAAGCTGAAAAAAGTGACAGTTGGAGTAAAATGTGAGTATTGTTACTCTCGACTTAAGTGTCGCTTATCCCGCCGCAAATGTGAAACTTTTCCCTTTAAAAAAAAACCCCCATGATTCAATGGATGTGAAAGCGCTCCACGTACAGTATTAAGGAAACTAAATATCCTTCTTTTACAGGGAAATGTTTTCACGTCAGTTTTGTTTCTGCTCTCCTGTGCCATATTTAGTGCAGTGTTGTGTCTGGTTCCTGTTCTGCAAAGTCACTGTGGTTTTTCCCAGCGCTGACGTGAACTAGCAGACACGTGTTGTCACAAACTGAACGCCAGATTTGAGATTACTGTGAATATGTGTAGAAGGTGACGAGCACCTGTAGTCTCCGTGACACAGCACTGCGGTGATTTAGAGCCGGGTAAATACTTAATATTTTAAAGCTGCGTAGGTGTGTATGTGGGCTTCTGTGAGGGGGAATAAGATTTTCCCTTTATAACCGTAAAGCAGGTTCACAAGCAGGTGGACACATGGAAACTGACGTTGACTCTGCTGTATATAATGTTGATACTACTGTCGGTGATATCTCTGTGTAAAAGTCACGGACTGTAAATAGTCAATACGTGGTCAGTTGTTTAAATTAGTCATCAAAATTAGGCCACACCCATCTTATGTGGTCTGTAATTTTTTTATTAATTTAGGTTTATGTTCATATTCTGAATTATATTTTATACGTTTTTTAATAGCCTGCATGCCTACAGTACTTTGCATGAGATATTGTTTGTGACTTCTTATTAAGCTCATATTTTGAACAGGGGTTTACTTTGTAAAAATAAGTTTTATTTACATCTCAGAACACGTATGTATCTTTATTTATTTTTATTTTTTGCTAACTCTTTGCTGTAGCTAAATGCTAGCTAAACTTCAACATACTTCAGCCACATATTTGTTAATGTTGTTAAAGTCTTCTGGCACATTTTTGTCTTGTCTATTTTTTTCTTACTTTTTCAAAGCCAAAGATTTTAATGTAATTTACCCTAAATTTGTCACTTAAGCTGTGTTAAGATGTAGGAGGTGTTCAGATTTCAGATCTGGGGAAATGCAGAAAACACAATAAAATCTTAAAAGTGTTTTCTGCTGCAACAAAAATCTTCAATGGTCAACAGTAGGTAGTATCCTCACAGTCCAGACTAGTAGCAGTGTTTGGCAGAGCCTGTTTTCAGAGGTAAGAAATGCCTTAAAACGAATAATGGTTTTGGTTTCTGTTCAAGAAGACAGAATCTCAGCTGACAACAGAAATCTGCTGCAGCTTTGTTTTGCCCCAGCAGAGGCCAGTACATGAGGAACACTCTGATATCAATGACGCTCTGTAACAAGATATCTAGTTCTATTTGAAGCAAGCCGGAAAAAGAACATCATGCACTGTCCGTGCACCTGCAGGTCTCAGCTGCATACATTCTCTGACGAGAGCCGGCGTGGTTTGTCTAATAAACCATGCCTGCTCTGTTGTGTGTTTTTACAAAGACACAACCCTCATGACATGGCATAGGAGCAGGACCTGTCTGACAGTCAACTGACCCAGGGTTTCTGTGATATGTCATGTGATGTGGTATTTAGAGTCCAAAGTCAAGCGGAGCTGACCGTTACACTCTCAGTCCAGCAGAGTCTCCTGTGTTCATTGAACTGGTGTCAGAATGGCCTCAGGAGGCGACGATATTCCAGGTAACACCTGAACTTTATTTAATCTGAGTTATTCTTGTCAATAACTTGCTTGTTCTGCGCATGTATAATTAAGAGATGCTTTTTTAAAAAAAAAAAAAACTAAACGTGGCTCATGTTTACCTTTTAGCACTTGAGATGGGCTCATCGTCTGGACTCTTTGGAGTTTTCTCTTCTCCTATTGGAATCACTCGACACAACATCAGCTACGACGAGCACATAGATGCCCCCTTACATTCACCACCAGCAGATCTGACTGTGAACATCTTATGGAAAGACCCTGTCATCCCGCAGCACAAGTTCAGGGACACAGCAGAGGTGCTCTTCTGTTTGTTTGACCGCTGACCTAGTGTATGACAATGTGAACTTATTGCCTCACACAATTTTCTCCTGCAGATTGGAAACAGCTTCAATCTGAGTCATACTGATATACTATTGTATTACTACAGGAAGGAGGTAAATATGGGAAGTTGGTGACCTTTGAGGCAGCAGATTTAGCCAAGCCCCATGTGCCAGTGGTGAAAGCCAAAGCCACCTCCTTAATGAGTTCACTAATGATAAGTAAGTGAGTAACATGAAGGAAAAACTGTAACTGTCCATACTGTAATATAACTATTTTAAAGCTACTTCACAATTTTCCTGGTCATGTTTTACACAGACTGATTTTGTCTCCGTTCTCTAAGGGCACAGCCAGGACAACATTCAGAGGTTCGAGCACCAAGCTGGCCTCACTGACACTGGGTATTCACCCCACAAGGGCCTCTCTGCTGAGGAGACCCGCTTTCATTGCTTAGGTGACGCCACACTGCCAGTAAGTACAGAACCAGGTTTAGAATCTTAATGGTTCACAGTTGTCAGAGGAATGGAGATGGCTGCAGTCAGTAGTTAAAAGTTAAAAAAGAATGTTTGTGTTCGGATACATATGTTTTTCAGAGGTAATAATAATATTTATTCAATATTAATTATAACTTAGCCATTATGTGGGTTCTAATTAAACCTCTGGAACATTTTAGTTGCAATGCTTCTGTTTTGTGCATGTATTACTGTATGTATTGCTATATAAACCAAACTGTAAAAAAAATAGAAAAGCCAGATTTGCACTCCTGCCAGAATCGCAGTATTATAAACTCTGTTTATATTCTTATATTTACTTGCTTATGTGAAATTCCCTGCATATACTATGTTCACTTTTATATCTGGTAATATTAATTTATAACATAATTCAAATATTTCTTTTGAGTCGTTAGCTTTTAGCTAAACCTGGAACGCACAACACATTGTAAACAGATTACATCACCAGATATGTTCTGGTTTCACGCTGCTTCCAACTCAGCGGTGACGCTGGACAACGCCTTCGTTTTTCATACAGGCCCAATCACAAAGGCGGTTACAGAACAACTTCACCAATCACATAGCTCCCAGTGAAACGAGCTGAGCAATCAGTGAGCTGCTAAGAAAGTGGATATATTCGGAGGGCCTACTGCAGCTAGAATAAGCTGTTCCGTTGGTAGATTTAGACATTCGATCGACCCCCAAAACTTATACAAAAAACAACCAATTATGGACAACATTACGGAAACCACCGAAATGGAGCCACAAAGAAAACAAGTCATTAAAAGGTACGTAAAAATATGTAGCTATTGGCAACATATTATACGTATAAGTAAATGCTACTCTTTAGCGTAATAGCCGTAAATGCTAAACCCGTGTAGCTGGCCTGAGTAAACTACTCCCTCAATTATAAAATAAAGCAGCTATTTCCTGAAAATATGGAGAGGCTCACAGTAAGAGAAAATAGTACCAGATAAAAAATAAACACATCTGAAATATGAGGTTGTTTAAATAAATAGTGTACGTTAGCCTGGCGCTTTACAGCCACAGTTTACCGTTGTTCCCAATTGTGTACGTTATATGTATAGAATATATATATATATACTTGTGTGTTTGTGACACACAGCGATATTAAATGTAGATTCACCACAAGATATTTAGTTTAAAAAAAAGTTCATTTCTTGCCCTTCTGCTAAAGTAATATTGCCACTATGCCATAAATGAATGTTTGAGGTTATTGTTGCTAAGCAGTGTAAGAATCTGGCATTTTTCCAAGCAGGTGTTGCTATCCGTATTGGTTACTGTTGTCATTGACTATAAAATGTATCTGCTTGTACAACATAGTACTTAGAGGTCTAATTAACGCTACCTGATACAGCTGTGCATGTGTTAATTTACATGTTGATTTAGGCTTAATAGCCACAACAAATATGTGTATTCGTTTTTTGAAAATCAGATCTTCTTGCGTACCACTAGAGAGAGCCCAAGTACCACCAGTGGTATGCATTACCACAGTTTAAGAACCACTGATGAAAATAGTCATGTAACTGATTGCTTGATCTAAACCTATACCTATATAGGCTCTTGCCTGGGAGTGTGCAGGTGTATTTGTCACATATGTGCTTCTCTCAGCTGCGTAATTGCAGGTTTCTCTTCCTGTTGTGTCACATCCCACTCTGCTGGTTGGAGGAACAACAGCTGTGTGGTCCACAAAAGGCACATTGGTTCAAAAGAGCTGAGCTCATAGAAACTTTATTAAGACAAAGCACTGCAACTAAATAAGACTCATTTCTAAGGAACACTTTTGCTCTGCTATGTGAACATTTTAGCAGCGATATGACGCAAAACCCAAAGAGCAATGTGAATGCTGGAGGATAAGTGGGAAGAGAGATCGATTGCGATACAACTTGAATGTGAACATGTCATTTCTCCAGAAACAGCTTGACTTACTAACTTAATACTTTACCTTAACTTTTTGCAACTAATTTTGCCCCTTCTTTGTGTCTTTGAAATAATAATAAAAAAAAGTGGGACAGGGTTTAATATCATCCTTGCTTGTTCTCTTAATTTTATTTTAGAGTAGGGCTTTATTCATCCCCTTTGGGGGAAACATACTTATATATATATATATATGTATATATATATATATATATATAAAAGAGATTAAATATTTTAATATTTAATCGCAGTATTTATTTCATTCCTCTCACAGTGTAAAGACCTGTATGGGGCAGTCTCTGGCTGAGGTCCATTTGGACCTGAGCAGTGATGAAACAACCCAAATATCACATTTGGTGCTCAAGGCCGGGGGGCGTGGCCTGCTGTTACTTTACATATGACATGATAGCCACTGTCCAAAGCAGACTGCAGAACAACATATACACGACTGATTCGAGCTCGAAAGAATGGTCATTGGGAACTGGAATATTTATGCATTGATTGACTTTGGGAACATTTTTCTCAAATCCTGTTACTTAAGCTGGTTTAAACTGATCTCAAATATAGGTATGAATTCTTATTCTGAGTTTTTTTTTTTTTTTATAGGTGCACATTATTATGTATCTAATTTTTTTAATGACGTGTTTAACCACCTCTAATTTGATTGATTTAACTGTCTTCTTTATTGGTCAATTGTTGTTTTGTTTTTTTTTCCTCTGTTCCACCCACACCGCAGTGGCAGGTGATAGGCTCTAGATATCTGTGACGCATTTTGTTATCGGTTTAAATCTGTGGGTTTTGAAAAACACACTGCTGACCTTTAGTGTTGTGTGTCTCCACTTTGTTTGCACCTTAAATAAGATCAATGTTGTGTCACTGCAACTGGGCCAGACTTCACTGAGCGAATGACATGATTGCTACCTGGGTTGGGCTGATTTGCGTACAAGGCACATGTCAAACAACAACATTGTATTGATTTATGTTGTTGTTTTTTATATATATAATAATGTGTTAGCTTTGTTTGATGCCTGTTTTCTTTTTTTGTCTTTGCAGAAGTTGAAAATGCCAAGTGGGGACTATAAAGAGGACAGACTTTCATCAGCACAATCTACCCCTAGTTGCACTCCTTCTGTCACTCCCAGTGTCACCCCTAGTGTTAGTCCCCACACATCACCAGCTACTGTTCGCAGGTATACCTTTTTACGATTTCTACCATAATTCTTTTACATGCAGTAGACTCGTCTATGTTTATTTTATTTTTTCACTGCTTTTTACTTTTAATGCTTTTATTTCTGCACCTGCGTCTCTATTATCCCTGTACATACCTGCTTTTATTATTTATTTTTACTTTTGTAACCAGTTGTTTCAGTGACTGCATGTCATGCATTTCCTCAGTGATCTCATATCCACACCTGTCACCCCACGTGCTGTTAACATACCTTCAGAGCTGCAGATGGGTGTAACCAAACAGGCTTCACAATGGAAGTTGATACATTTAGAGACACACGTTTATTTAGGATTTTGTATTTATACTAATTGCCTCTTTTGTGCAGTTATGTAAAGGAACTGATGAGGTATAGATTGAACACTAACTCACTAACACGCTGAATCTCTGGTTCGATAAGCTGTTATATCAGATTCAAAGAACACCGTTTTATATTATTTCACTCTGTGTTGGTTTATTCACTGCCATATGTTGTATCACTCACTGTGTTTTTCGTGCACATTGCTTGGCCGGAGTACAGGAGCTGGTTCCAGCTGAGTCCTTCATCATTCCTTGCCACCCCGGAGCTCAGTCCACACAGCCAAAGCACAGATATGGGAGGAAATGAAGGAGGAGACAGGTGGAGCTTTTTTGGGACTCGGTCTGTCGTTCAGAAGTCTCCAACTGATCCAGGCTCTGACAGTAACACAGGTGAGTCACCCTGCATATGGATGACCTGATTATTGCTCTACTGTTTCACTCTGGAAATGAGAAAAATTGCATTTGCATTTAGTGTGATGATGGTAATATTTAAAATATTTTAAAAAATTCAAATACAAATGCTACATAATGTGTCCTTATATCCCCACGTATGTCCTACAAACACAATACTTTGGGTGTATATACCACACATTTGACCTTTTAGGAATTACTAACCAAAGACAAAAAAACAGACAAAAAATAATGAAAATTTGTCTTGGGGAAAAAAAACACAAAAGAATGAAGTACAAATAAGCTCTCACACATTTTTTATTACCGGCCAGGTCACATTTCTGGCCAAAGCCATTCTACAGAAGAACAACAAAAAGCAAAAACTAATCAAGTGCACATCCTCAAAGTCATGTGATGACTAGTCACATTAAAATCAAAAAACATTAACTAAATGAAAGTACACAGGTGTCTAGCCTTGCTTCCTTTATGTTTCATTTTCAGTTTTATTTGAATTTCAAAACTGTGGAGTCTACATAGAAAAGACATGAATGTAGTATGTAAAAGCTATACTAATAAAATGGACTTTTGGAGGTGTAGGTGGCCAACATAACACCAGTGGCACACACGGACAGATTTATCATAGTCCAAGCCTCCTGCTGGTATTGTGGTGATTGGAAATAATCGACTAAAAACTATAATAATAAAAAGGGATTTAAAAAAAAAAAGGGAGATCCATTTAAAATAAATGCAGTGTTTCTGTCCAATTCCCTCTTGAAATTTTCCACAACTCTACAAATCCAAAGCCTTAGAAGACCAGTAAAATTCCACTTCAGTACATGTTCAAAGAACTGTGATGTGGCACCAACCTGCAGTGTAACTTAGCGCTGCATTCCTTTTGAGTCATATGTGGAATGTCAGGCGGGCCATTGACTTCACTTCCACTTACAAACCAGATCCTAAGTGTTCATTTTGCATAATTAAGCTGGGCTGCAGCAGATCAACATTGGAAATTCATCGCAAGTTTTAGGTGTAATTAGGCCACGGCAGCACAAGCCACAGGCTACAATTAGACAGCGCTGAACATGCTGCATAAAATGGTGAGAGAAAAAAAAAAGGCAGAGGTTTACTATGCGGCTTCGAGGGGAAGTTTAGGAATTACGACTTTGAGAGGCCTCCCTTACACACTAGCAAACAGCAGTAAAATATGCACATTCAGAGGGAACAATAAGACTCTACAACAATGCTAATGCCGATGTCTGTAATCAGAGAAATGAGCAGCTAAACTGTGCCAGAAGCACACTGAATATGCTAATATCTCTTCTCAGTTTAACGTCACAGTAAATGGAGGACTTTAAACTTCACTAATTAATGTCTTTGCGGTTATTTAACCAGTGCTGTTTATGCTAATTTGGTTATTCCTCCATGAAAATACTGCTACACAGTTTAAGTGATTTTACCCAAATGGTGTTCAAAGCTCTGCTCACTTTATTTTTTATATACTCTACTACCTTTAGATTCATTTACATATTATCAAATGTGTATATAATGTGTTTTGGGTTTTTTTTATACACAAAGATTTGTTTTCTTTTGGATTAAAATAACCATGTTGATGAGAGGAAAATAAAACCTGCTGTAAGCGTCTTCATGTTCGTTGTCTTTACTCTCACGCTGCACGGCATATCTGGCATTTTCCACAGAGCTGTGCCAACCATAAAACACTGCCTTTCAGTTTATTACATATTTTTTGAAACCCGATCTGAAACGTTAACATGCTTTTGACATACTAAAATTAAAATACTCTGTACTACAATAAAATACTGGTATCAAATACGTCACCGCAATTACCTACAGAGCTGTGCCTCCTGTGCAAGCAGCAAGTACCCATGTTAATACGCTTGTGTATCAGGGAGACCCTACTTGATGGATCATATGGTGTCGGTGGAGCAGGTCCGTAGCCAGGTTTAGTCCATTAATGCCAACATCAACCATCTTCCCTCTTCTCTGCAGGCTTTTCACTGCAGTCCTACTTTGGTATGCAGAAGTCGTCCACCATCGATGGCTCCAACACCCAGATCAGCCTGAAAGTTCAGGACCCCTCCAATTTAATCACCCCCAAGATTGACATCACGAGTGTCGAGACCAAGACGGCGCCGCCTCGGCCTCACAAACTAAAACCCCGGGACCTGAATGTATTGACTCCTTCTGGTTTCTGAAGCTAGATTGACCTAACTGAAGTTACACCTCTGTACAGAACCCCCCCACCCCCTCACTCACTCTTATTTAAATGGACCGATCTTGTGTTTCCATCTTTCTGTGTTCCGTATTTCCTGAGCAACAAATACGGAACACTGAAAGCATTATCGCCCAATCCCCACAGATGCCACTGCTCCCTCAGTCCAACATCATTTCCTGTCTCCTTCAGCTCTTTGTTCCATTTAAAACATCAAATTATTCTTATTTAAAGCTTAAGAAAGTTGTGTTGTAATGTTTTTGCTTTGCTAAATGAATCCCATCGTCATGCACGGCAGTAGATTAACTGGATTATCATTTCAACTCATCATCTCAGCCCCTCTGTTCCCACTGAAACAGAGCAGCTGTTTTTGTTTACGATTCTCCGTTGCCTCATTTTTACTTTTTTCTTTTCTTTTCTTTTTTACACAGTGTAGATGTTTGTGCTTGTCCATATGAGCATGCAGGCATTAGTTAAGTGTGAATGTCATTTTCTAAACTCTTTTGCCTTTTCTTGTTACATTGCTTTTGTTATTGTGCCATATAGTGTTTTATTTTGTCGTTACGTCTGATAAGACTGAAGTAATTTTTATTATATTTGTTCAACTTTGTTTAGTCTCAATACTTCATGTTAATAGATAGAATTTCTTTTCCCCTGTATGCCTCAGACAAGGACATTTGTAAAGGTGTGTGTGTGTGTGAGTGAGTGAGAAAGGTTAAGGCAGCTTTGGACAAAGTTGTTGATTTCTAATAATTGCACAATGGAGACCCGCTCTCGCTCACATCTGTAAATACATCTTATGGTTCCAAGCAGATATGGTCCGGTTGTTGTTTCTTAAACCTCCGTGCAGTCTTTATATTAGGCCTCATAATTTTATAGACTATTACCCACTCACGGCATTGTGCATTTATCACATGAAAATACAACTTTGAGCTCATTATTTGCAGCTGTTGATTGAAGTCCTTTAAAGCACTTGATTTTTACGAGTTGTGTTTTTAAGGGGTGGAAAAATGCTTACGTTCCACACTCTGAATGAGAGTGCTTTTAAAGTGCTGCTTTGTGTGTTCATTCAAAGATAAGGGAAAAGGTATATTTCTGTCAACTCCAGCACACATTCATCAGTGGTTGATCACTAAATGTAAGATGTGTATCATGGAAATGTAAGGAATGACGTGCAGTGAGGGTAAACCTCGGAGTAGACGCCAAAGGGTTTTTCTCTCTTTAACAGAAGGCTGCTTCAACGCAAAAGCTAGCAAATGTTTCTATATTGATCCAAATGTCTTCCAGCTGACACTGTAGTCACAAGGTACAGCAAATACATAAAACTAAAAGTAAAAATACAAATGAAGATTATATAAAATTAAGATTTCTGTCTAGATAACGCAGTCAGCTGAACAGAAAGTGAGCAGAGCTTTTACACCGTTAGTGCATTTTAATGGAAAACACTGTCGTCTGCTTTATAGTAATTGAAGTGTCACTTAAACCAAGTACCACTATTTCCATGCTCCAATAAACAAATGAACACAGTGTTTATTATATCTCAACAAAAGAGAGACTTGATGGGGTGTAAACCTTATCCACTTTGGTAAGTCTTGCTCCTGTCTTCGTCTCTGATGTTATGATACCTGCTGACGTCGTTGACCTCCTTTAACAAACCACCAATGACAGCAGAGACACTGATCACTGCAGTTGGAAAACACACAACACTGGTCGAAAGTGTATTTCAACCATTAATAATGTAAACAACAACTGGATGGGCAGTAGAAAAGCAAGAACCGCTGACGTGGACAAATCAGGATGAGTTCATTGAATAGTTATCGGCACGAACCCTAAACAAAGACGAATCACACGTTTGAGTTACTATGCAAATGCCTTTGCTTTGTTATTTGCAGCAGTTAGAGGCAGTATTAAATAATTCCTAATGGTTAGTCTGGATTTATGCCCAGTTTAGATAAATTCAATAAGGACATTTGATTAGTTATAATTAAATCATTTATGTAATTACATCAAGAATTCATTTAATTACATTCATTGTCTTGTCTTTTTTTAATTTTTTATAATTATAACAATGACGGGAACAGCAGCCCGTTCTGCTTACTTCCACAAAGCCACTGGAATATTTTGGACTTAAAAACAAGTTTGTCAATCCTGAGGTCAGCAAACTTTCCAGCTCCCGTCTTTAATAACAGGTTAATTAATGACTACAGTTAATTCTGCGCTGCTTACGCTCGGCTGCTGCCAGATCCTATAATTAGCTCTATTAAAAACAAAGCCCAAAAGAAGCGTTGCAGCCACGAGCACCACCCCTGCAGCTTCATTAGTCACATTTATCCTATTGTTTATCTTATTAAACAATCTTATTGTTGAGGGAGACTCGGAATTGTTGAAGAACATCTTTGTGTGTCTTTCTTCAGCTCCTGAGAGAATATCAGCATTGTGTAGAATTAAACAGGCCCAGGTTTCCTTCTGAGTAAGTAAATTGTGAAAGAATCAAAACAACATCTATAGAGCGAAGGTTAAATAATGTACAATAATGGCTAACAAGGTCGCTAACAAGTTTTTGATCTTATTCCAAGTCTCTGAATCCATTCATTCTTGATGTAGCTTTTCAAGGAATACTCCTTTATTTCTCCAAAGCTACGAGACTCTTGAAACTTGGCCTTCTCAAACACTCTGACCCTCTGATCCCGCCGCCACCTTTACTCATGTTTATCCTAATGTACGTATTCAAGACTTACCCCGTGACCCTGTTTCTACGCAACACACATTAACCTTCTATTCATACGTGTACAAAAGTGGTGTCAAATTTCCTTTGATGCCTCTGTGTCATTGTCGAGTTCTTCTGGAGACTTTAGCTCGGAGATATTTTCCTTTCTTTGTTTTGTTTTTTTTTTCTTTGCACCTAGCTGTCCACGCCTACCTGGCTAAATTAGTTTCCTTTTATATGGCCCATGCAGGAAAGTGGTAACAGATATTGTACGTGCTATTACAATTATAATAGCAAGAGCCAATGTGTGTCTAACAGCTCCGACATCATAGACGACCGAAAGGAGCTCGTAATCCTGGAGTACAAACACTCCTACACGTCACGGTAGAGTTAAAGAAAGAAATAATTTCTTGTGAACCTGGCAGTCAGGATCCTGTTTACAATAGAACAATGGTGCTGCTTGTATAGTCCATCAGGGTCAAGATTTAGGTGATGGATGGATGGTTGGGGTTATTCTACCCCTTGTGGTTAGTCCACAGTTGAAGCTGACCGGATTACTGGACGTTACTTCAGTGAATCCATTACAGTATTTTATCCAGTATCTCACTATTGCATCAATAGTTCGTGAACTTTTCCGTCAGTGACACAGCTCTGGTGGTTTTTTGTCGATGATGTGATGTTTCTAGTCCTTGTTGATGTTGTTTGTTTTGCTGCTAATTGTAAGTCTTCAGGTACTTTCTACGATATCCTTGACAGTAGGTTGGTTTGATGGGAGCATATTTCCAATGTATGCTAATGTATTAATGGCACATTCATTAATATATGCAGTTGTGGGATGGATGCTTTAGGCACTTTGCAGTAATAACATACTGGAGAACATTTTTCCTGACTGACCAGAGTCAAACTTAACACAGTTCATTTGAATGGATTTGTTTATCGTTCAAATCTACTGACACATTTAGTAAAAGCTGGGGTTTTTTTGTTTTGTTTGTTTGTTTCTTTTGTTCGTTGCTATGCTCTTTGCTATAGTGACCACTATACAGTGCACTATCTGCAGACTTTGGCCACAGAAGCCTGCAGCCTGACAGGGCGTGCCTACTGCCCTGACTCAACACAGGACAAATATACGTATTCAAGGTCTCCTTATTCTTCAGTCAGAGTCAGAATAGAACCTTCCAGGTCGTAGGATGCAGCACAGACTCACACTTTCACTTCCATTTCTTGTTTTATTTTACTAGTTTTCACTCTCGTAAATCAGCCTCCGACTTCTGAGGGTGCGACACCTTGACTTGATTAGAGACTTCTCCACCGTCAGGTCTGGTTCTCAGATGGTGCGACAGACGCAAAGGTCAACGTCAAACGACATGAACATGTGGCGACAGGGAACTGTCAGTTCATGTCTGAAAGTGGGCGGGACGTTAGTGTCAGGCTGAGTGATGGATGGAAGGGGCACGGAGAGCGGGAAGGAGGAAAAAGGGACACGGATTCAGCCCGGAACCAGACTACGTGTGTTCCAATGCAACTTTTCTCACTGAGGCCTTGTTTAAAAAACACACGGCAGTAGTGCAAAGACAAGACGGGGGGGGGGGGTTGACCACGTTTCAACACCATTTAGTCGAAACTTGGTCTTCGGAGTGTCTTGGTCTCCGGAGCGGGTCTTAACCCCAGAAGACCCACTTGGTCGACATTTAGTTAGGGGCAAAACAGAGAAAAAATGGCAATGGAGTGGAAAGTGTGAAGGGTGGAGTCCCCAAGAAGTCATGACATAATACAGATGTCTCTCTCTCTCTCTCTCTCTCACCGCGCCTCCTCTCTCCGGGTCCAACATGACGTCGTTCTCTTGCTCTCTTCTTCCTCCCACCCCCACCACAGAAATCATTTAGCTCACTCACAGATGTGCAGGGCAGCACCACCCCTGTTGGAGTAGCCTTGCTCATCTGCAGTCTGATACAGCACACACACACACACACAAACACACACACTCTCGTCTATTAGATATATAGTAGAAATGCTCGTTCTCTCTCTCTCTCTCTCTCTCTCTCTTTATTTCTTTTTGTTAAATAGATTAAAAAAACACTTTGCCTGGTAACTGTCAGCCATGCCTGCAGGAACTCATTAAAGCCCAGCTCTGAGGTGGATGGTCTGAACTCCCGTCGACGTAGGAGTGTTGGCCTCACAGTCAGCCTGACCTCAGGAACACGACAAATATTCCGGTGTAGTCACAACTTACCGCAAGTCTGTGGACGCAGCAATAAACAGTTTTTCCATAGTTTTTGTCTCCGTCGGATTTTTTAATGCAATTACCAATAAACACACACGCGATGTTGTTATGGACATAAAATATAGTGATAAGATAAAGGAATGCAATAAACAGTTAACATCATAAACATTAAACATAAAAAAAATATTTCATGTATCAGCGTCTCATACACTAGTTATCTATCGACGTTGACTTGACTAGAGTGGCTTCACCTTCATTACTCATACAAATTATGGTGTATTTAGATGTAAAAAAAAAGAAAAAAAAGAAAGAAAAAAAACTTTGTTTTTAATCAGATTTTTTGGGGGGGTTTCCAAAAAGCGTCATCATCATCTGGTGGTCATGTTGTTTTTGTGCTGAGGAAGTTATTCACCCAGTGACACAAACAGCTGGTGACAAGCCCGCAGGATGGGTTTGGGGGGGGGGGGTGGGGGGGGGGGGTCACTCTGGCGCAGGGTGGGGCCTATCCTGTGTCACATCCTATGCCAACTGACTTTAGAGCCACATCTGGGCCAGATTCACGGGCGGCCCGGGGGTGAACCCCCTGAGCCCAGAGGAGGTGGGAGGTCTCAGGAGTGTTTGTGGGGGGTGTGGGGGGTCGGGCGGCTGACTGCAGGGGGACTGGAGAAGATATGTCCGTGCTGAGTTACTGTATCCTCCTAAAGTAAACCTAAATCATGGCCGCTACCCCGAGAGAGGGTTACAGCGTTAGGGCTGTTGACGCAGATGTAGGTCACACACAAATCAAATCAGCTTATGTAACGCAACCACCGACTGCCACTCATAAAACTGTGGAGCTGGGCCTCTGTCACTGCATCTCCACCAGAACCCAAGGAGCTCCTGCAGGAAATACAAAGATGAGTCCGTGCACAGTGAGGAAGTTCATAAAACTCTCTGCAGTAATATGAGCGATTAAAGCTGCAAACACTAGACTCTGAAATCCACCCTCAGTTTGGGGGAGGCGTTGAGGGGGAGGGGGGGGTCTGGCAGGAGGTTCGCTGTAGAGCACCTACTTCTACTACGCCACCATCTGGAATTACTATTAGAAAAGAAGGAAAAAAACCTTGACTGTAACAAAGATGTGTGAGAAAACACACACATTGGTGTATTTATGGTATAGAAGGCAGCGCGTGACAGAGGTTAGCTAAGGTAAAGCGTTAGCGGCCCAGGGGTTTGCAGGCGCTTGGCTAAAAAGCCAAAAACAAAATACAAACACACAATGCAGTATCGAGTATTACCGACGATAAATAATGTATAGAAGAAAACTTTTTTTTTTTAAAAAGTAAAAAATATATCGCTAACGCACTTAATTAAGCTGCGAGGCTATGCTAACAGCAGTGAGTCTTTTGCGTATATACAGTATAAACTAGCCAACCAATTTTCTATGATCTTGAGTAGCGTACATGAATTAAATAAAATGTATTTAATACGTTTCCTCATGAAGATAGCTTTGTTTACCGGTTTCACCGGTGCTAACGCCATTTTGTTTTTTAAACCTTTTTGCCCTTCATTATGGGCCACAAGCAAATGTTTCAGTTTGGTAATGAAATGAACAGATCAGCACTCTGACACGTGATGTGTAGACTTACACGTACACTCTCCCCTGCAGTAATAAAAAATAAATAAATCAGTTTCCTCCGCTGATTATTTCATTTGTCCCCTGGTGAGAAGGAAGCCCAAGGGCCATCATGTGCAACCATTACGCTGCCTTGAGACATGAATACTTTGCACTTCAGCACGTCAGGCTAAATGTATGTGTAAATGTCCATAGAGTAAGCTCCAGAGATCACAGAAACAATCCACTCATAGATAAATGTATGTAATACAAGGTTGAGTTTGTAACTGCAGGACTGGACCGAATACGTATGGATGTTATAATCCAACCTTTGTGACCCGAATAATTTGACTTTGTCCAACTTTTAGCCCGTGACCCACCATTTCAGAAACAGAATTTTCAATATCCTTTTTAAACAGTGTGAGTTTGAAAGATGTAGTGTTGTATAGTAAAAGAAGCAATTGAAAAATGGATCAATTTAATCCTTAAAAATACAAATACTTTTTGCATAAAATATATATCTATTACTTATTATTGCTCCGTCAGTACTACACTTTCATTTGTGAAGAACTGCAGTACGAGCTGGATGAGTCAGTGCTCTGCATGGCCGTGTTACCTGTTAGATACAAGTCTGTTTCTGTCTCTGCTCTTCCTGAAGCGCCCCCCGCTGAGAGGCAGCGAGAGGGGCAGAAAGCATTATTGGGCCCTCCTGTACCGGCCCCCAGGTCCTAACGTGAAGCAGATGTGAAAGGGGAGATCACCCTGCAGCTGGAGCTTCTCAACTCACCAAACGTTCATACCAAACACACACACACAAACACACACACACACACACACACTGCAGGCTGCTAATGTCACCACATCCACACCGCTCTGGCTTGGTTCGTGTGTGTGTGTGTGCGTCTTTCACTCGCCACGTGTCATCGCCAATACATTGAGCTCGGACCATTTCCTTTTTTTTAGGGTGTGAATGATAATTAATAGTTTTTTTGTGAGTGTGTGCAGTGTGACTGTGATTACTACCATTAGCCATAAGTTCATCTGAGTGCGTCTTCTTACAAATCTGACGTAATCCCAGCGATGACTGCGCAGTGTTTTTTCCCCCTATATAATTAAATGCATCTAATTGTATTTATCTGTAAAAGAAGATGAAACAATGAAGAGAAGTTTTGTGATGAATTATCTGCAGCAGTGGAAAAAACAAAACAAAAACCAAAAGGCTTAATGGCAGTAAGTGATGTTGAAATCAAATGTCTTGCAGTACAATAGAAGACGTGCTCCACTTGACCGCTATTGATATCCCAATTGTAATTAAAGGACCTTTGATCTTAAGGGTGGATCTCATTGGATAACAATGTCAGGGTGAACAGATAATTATACTTAATAATCTTTCAAGCCCTCAAAGGAATTCACCTCTTGGCTCCAGTCTCCGCTTCTAACTCATACACATCCGCAGCACGCCCAAAAACGTGTCAGTATACGGAGCTACAATAGATACTTTAATACCGTAGCAAAAGTCCTGGCCGGAATATCACGAGATTACATTGACACTGCAGTCAAGAGTGGCCCGTGTCCAACTTTTCTGTTGCCTATATGTGACCTGCACTACATGAGTTTTACAACATTTTTTATCCATAAAAAAAGTCCGACTCATTCGCTGTTATATTTGGTACTGAGTCACAGCAGCGTTAGGCTCAACTGTCATGCTAGTTTTCATTTCATCCAACTTTTACGTCATTACGGTGACGCGATTCTACGTCAGAGGAGGCCAGACGAAACAAGAACAAATGTTAACAACGCACAATGCGAAAACAACAGAGCAGGTCAGCGTAAAGAACAAGAATTAAGGGTCACTGAGTAAACTGCACAACAACTTCAAAAGCGATACACGTGGCTAACATGTAGCATTTCTTATTTACGATGTGCTGCGACTGAGCGCGACTTTGTCCGTACACTACAGGCCGTATGGACTGTTCAAAATGTCTCATACCAGTTCTTTTTATTTTTTATGATAGCATAGCTATCATAGCTATAGTTTGTATATTTAAGGACCAAAAATGTAAGAAATACTGGTTTCTTACTCGAATGGCGACTCAATTAATCTCTGTTTTTGCGAGGCTAGGCGTGTCACTTGGCCAGACACTTGAGCATTCCTAACTCAGGGACTTGGACAGCGAGGCCACGAGTTCTCGTCAGGGAAAATGCATGTGTAATCCAAACTACTCTTTGTAATATATATATATAGGTGTGTGTATATGTACAAATATATATTTTTTTTTATAGAGAGAGAAAGAGAGAGAGTTATGATCTTATCAGTGTCCCTGTCTTTCTGTACGGCCTAATCAGTAATAGTAGCTTTTATGTGTAGATGTAAGTTCATGTGTACGTACCAGGAAGTGAAGTACTAATTAAATGAGCTGGCAACAAAACTGTCATTAAGTCCTGGAGCCAGGATCAGTCATGTGACCAGTGTCTTTTAGCCGTTCCTTTTGTTAGCAGCAGGTATGTTTATCCAATGCCAAACAAACCTTGGTCACAAGGGGAGGAAACAGGCTACGATGGCTAACTGCTTCACTACTCTGCTGTGATACTTTACCCACAATGAATTGATACAATGTTCTGTATCTTGGTATTGCATACCAGTTTAATCCAGAGGTGTCAAACTCCTTTTGGTTGAGACGCCACATACAGCCTAATTACGAGTACCTGCAAATAACAATAAGTCCATGTTTCCCCGCTTTGTTTTCCTCCAAATAAGTATTATAAGTATAAACATCACCAAGTATCACCAACATGAAGGGTTTGTGCATTTTTTTCAAAATTCATCAAGTGGGGCCGTATTCATATTTAATGAAATATAATTTGGAAAGATTGAACCATCTAGCGGGCCGGTTTTGGCCCCTGGGCCGTATGTTTGACACCTTGACAATATAAATTATAGTATCAAGGCTCTAGAAATTAATTAAAAAAATATTTTTGAAACAACAACAACAAAAACATGTCTGAGAATATGTTATGAATGTAGCCGTGCTGTAAAAACAACAAACCCACTTCCTGATTACTGTTTAGATGCCACAAAGATGAATTATGTTTTCTTTATCAAGACCTGGTTATTCAGGAAATCCCTTTTTTAATAAATGTTGTATTTCCCCGTTAAAGCCCTGGCGTGGTCCCCTCCCTGAGCAGTCATCTGAGTGAATGACTAAGTCCTGTTCTGGTAATTTTTATTTTGTTATAGCAACAATGATGTAGATGTTTAGTCGATGAATTGGAATGTATATTTAGCACAGCCGACGTAGAGTCAAACCTGTTCTGCATTGGCATATTTTGGATCCACATTATCAACATACCAACTTAGAAACACAGACCTGTTTTCTCCATCAAACGGTTAGAGACGGGGGGAAAAAATGAAGGGGAAAAAACACTGACACCAGGAAATCAGGACTCGAACCGTAGAGGAGAAAAGAAGACACATGAGTCATGTTTAAAAGAAAATGGACAACCGTTTGAGCCGTTTGAGCAAACCCTTCATATCTGCTGAGGAATGGAACGTTTATATTGATAAAATATTGTATTCCATTCAGCCCAGTGCCTGAGAAGAGCAGCAGCAGCAGCAGCAGCAGCAGCATACGGTGTCACCGGGAGACGGGAGGGACGGAGGCAGAGACAGAGGCAGAGGAGGTGTGGCCGCAGCCTCTCCAGGAACCACCATTTAAATGCAGAGTGTGAGCGTGACAGAGAGTGCAGTCTTTCTGGATTCAACGACACACACACACACAGAGCAACAGCAGCAACAACAGCAACAGCAGCAGCATCACCACCACTATCACTCCGAACCGGGAAACTTAGGACGCTTTCTCCCCGCAAACACTCCAACATCACCGGCCACGAAGCTTGAGCAATGTGTGGTAAGGTTTTCTGTTGTTTCCTTCTCTACTTCGTAACCAGGAACTTTGGAATGTTTTACGCACTGAACCTGACGCGTGTCTGCTCGGGATGGTGGCGTGTCATTCTCGTCGAAATCGCGTGATGTTACTTTTTGGTGCCGTTAACGCGACACTGCTGAAATGTGACTTTATTTGCGTTGTCAGATCTGAGCGGATTCGTGAAAAAGCTTTGCGCGCAGCTGCTACGTGTCATTGTTTTCAGCCAAGGGCGTACGACACAGTTGTGTCATACCGGTTCATTTTGAAGTAGAAGTACACAGTGACTACTGCAAGTACTGCTCACTCCTAAGTCAGTGTCTGATACTCAACATCTAGCCCACTGGTGATCCTTTCGCTCTATAATCTTTCCCCCCCCGCTGGAGCTGTCACGTTTGACTCTGAGGGTAAATCCAACCAGCCTCTCCTCCTCCTCCTCCTCTTCCTCCTCTGTGAGGAGGAGGTCGTGGCTGTTCCTCCACAGTTCCTCCACTGCCTGTACCTGGCTGCTCCAACACTGCGCGCAATGTCCGTGCGTCAATGGGCAGCTGTGTCCCAGCGGGAGGAGGAGGAGGAGGAGGAAGAGGAGAGCAGAGCTGAGCGGAACATTCCTGCACTCTCTGCTCTGGAGTTAGCACAGAGTAGGCATACAGTGAATACTGCATCTACTGTGTACCTGCAGCCTCATAGTACGCTGTAAAAAATAATCCTGCACAGCATTCCCTCACAACGTCCTCAGGCCTGATCCATCTTTTCGCTTCACTTAACACCATCAAATGACCTGAAGAGGTCAGACCTGGAGGGTGGGGCAAAAAAAAAAAAAAAACAACCCTTTGAAATCAGGAGACTTTTAAAAGAATTGCCCAGATATTTGTGGCATCTCACATCAACACTTAACATAAACAGTGAGCCAGGTAGGAAGCATCAAAGTAAACATTAAGTACAGGTTTGCACGGAACACTGTTTCCCATACCTTTAATTACCTCAGCTTACTACAGTACTATCAAATCAAAGAGTCAAAATATTATTTTTATTATTAAACCCTTTTATTGTTAAACCCTTAGGGCCGACAGGGAGATTTTTTTTTTAAATGTACAAAAATACTATATAAAATATGAATTTAAATTAATGTTATATATTTGTAGATTTTGTTTTTAAAAAGACCATTGAATTGAATTATTAATTTGTCTTTATTTAGTCTAATTGTTGAATCTGAAACAGAAACTACAGTCACCCGCTGTAGGGTACTACAAATACTTCATATTCCAAGTATTACGAGGATTTAATGCCTCATCACTATCAGTCCGAGATGGAAAACCGAAAGTTCGACGAGATAACAGGTGCGTTCTTCGTCGCAAATAGCAAAGACAGCGTGATTAAAAAAAAAACACGGCCATTTTTTTTTTACTATTATGTGTCAAAACGTGAATGGTTATCAGAAGGAAGGGTGGAGGAGTGAGAGGAGGAGGAGGAGGAGAGAAACCAGGATACTTGAGTGCCACGCTGCCACTTTTTGACCATGTGACATTAAACAACAGTGTTTACAAAAAGATTAGGAGAGTGTGTGCGTGATGGTGCCAAACACTGACAGGTCAGGATGTGAACTTCTAACGATTCCTGACTTCAGGGAAGGATTCTAGGAAGCACGAAGTACCCAACAAGTGGTTGAAGTATTTGTCTTTGTTGAAGGACAAACAGCTGGCGAGTGAATTGTTGGAATTCGTATCAGTCGTCGGTAGAAGACGTCCCACAGAAATACTGGGAAAAAAAATAAAATTGCATAAGGCCAGGGTGCCCTGCTGAAGAATCTTCTCCGTCTGCTAAGTTTCCTAATCATAAATACCACTACATTTCCAGTGAAGTTTTTCGTCAGGTTTCCAGCAAGTATTTTGATGTTGTGGTTAATCGTATGATCAGTTTAGAAAAAAAAAATCTCCTTAAAAGTAACTTACCCTCATGTTGTCATGAAGGTTTTTTCATCACGAGACCTCTAACAAAACGATTACACAAATACTTTATCTAACAGCTCCTAAAAATACCATATATTTATTTATTTATTATACTGTATCAGTGTCTTTCAGATAGCAAACCTCTTTCTCAGGACAGATCTAAAAAATGACTCTAAATATTTAAAGTGATATACGGTGCGTTAAAAGAGAAAATGTTCGCTCTATTTTTTTCCTGTGGATTTAAATGCCCTTAATGAGATCAGTTATCTCTTTTGGAAATAATAAAAGTATACTGTGTATTTTTTAAACTTTCTAATTAGCTTCAGTGCTAAATTATTTTTATAAATACCAGCACTTGGTATCTGCTAAGATTAAGGTTTTTTTACAGAACATAGTACAGCAGAATGTTTGAGAAGGAGCCTCGTAAAAATGACAAGAAACCGCGACTGTCAATGACAACTGTCTGGAAACCTCAGGTTGAGTCGCGTCTTCATTTAGACGTTATGACATCTTACTTTTTTAGGTACCATACTGCCCCCAGTGACTGTTTTCAGTATTGTCGCTACATGGTACGATTTCTTTAAATAATAATAGTTCAAAAGGATAAAACACTATAATGAGTTTTCCAGTATCTGGTTCTGAGCTGAGGTTATGTTTCTTTTGTGTCAAACAGGGATCTTTGCCTACCTGAATTACCAAGTGCCCCGCACCAGGAAGGAGATATTTGAGACGCTGGTCAAGGGACTGCAGAGATTGGAGTACAGAGGGTACGATTCAGCAGGTAAAGATGCTTGGCTTCACGGAGCTGCCACGCACGCACACTCAGACACACAGGCCATTCAAAGGCTCCTCGGCGGCACCTGTGTGACGTGTCCCAGAAAATTAAACATCTGGGCAGCGTTTCAACACATCGGCGGTGTTGAATGGAGACAATCACAGATTCAGTGCTGCGTAATTAGCCCTAGGAGCACACGCTATAAAGCCAATTTGGTCTGCAGGTGAATAGAGTACATGTTGTTGCCTCAATTTGGTTGGGAGCATTCAATGATAAAGGCATAAGCACGCCCTGTTCTGCTCACTGGATCCACGCATGTGTGATGTCATAATAAACACTTGGTCATAGTATATATTGAATGAAATGAGGAGGAACTGGTATGACAGGTGAAACCAAAGGCACACCTGTGATCTAAAAACTACACAGGGAGTATCACCGGGAGAATTTCGTGGCCGCTCACATTTAGAAATGCAAGCTTATTCTGTTTGCTCATCCTGTTAGAGCAGGATGAAGACATACTGTGGCAATTGACGTCTGGTAAACACTGGCGTTCACACACCCATGTTCTCACACAGACACTGTGATAAATCTCACTGCACGTATCATACAGGTTACACCTTAACACTTTTCATTCTCGGGCTGTCAAACAATTTTAATTAGATTGATGTTGTTATTAATCATGATTATTTATGATTAGTCGTCTACAATATTGTTGGATTTGAATGACAAATAATTATGTATATTTTTACATTTTTAATTACTCCTGTGTTTCTTTTTATTCCTGTGCAAAACTGCCTCGTCTTTTGATGTGCAATAAGAGAGATGCTCGAGAAATGTTTATAAAATGGCAATAAATTACAGTTTTATATTCTCTGGTTTTCTTTACAGCACTGCGTGTAAATAACGACATGTGTATCGTCAGTGTATTAGAGCGACAACAAGTGGATGGATGGTGTAACTGTGTCACTGGGTCATTATTTAAAAATGTGATTTAGCTGATATAATTCATTTCACAAATTAATTAACACCATTAACGTGTCCATTTTGACCACACTAATTCAACATACTCCCCCTGTGACCGTTTGCAGGTATTGCAGTCGATGGCCCCAACAAGTCCAGCTCCGACATCTACAGCAACTCCATCTGCTTGATCAAAAAGATGGGAAAAGTCAAGGCCCTGGATGAGGAGCTCTACAGTGGGTTCCTGCACGTTTCTTCTCCTGTTTCTGCGAAGCCACTTGTGTTCTGTTTCTACTGTATTTGCCCCGTGTTTCTAACAACCCCTGCTGTTGTCCTTTCTGTGGTCAGAAAAAGACTCCCTGGACCTGGACGAGGAGCTTTACACACATTTCGGCATTGCTCACACTCGCTGGGCCACACACGGAGAGCCGAGTGCTGTCAACAGCCACCCTCATCGCTCCGACAAGGAAAATGGTAAAAAGAAATCCTGACATTCACGTCTGTCATCTTACACATACACGCACTGTTGTTCTTTAGGAAACCAAAACAGGAACGCCGATAGAAGATTATCCGCCGTGGATTTAAATCCTGGCGCCTATTGGGCCGTTAATGATTATGGATGAATAGACTAATGTTAAAGAAAGTCTTTTGTTACTCCAGCCTAGACTTACATTTACATTAGCTGTTGTTTATATAAGTCAACATTCAGCGTTCCATCTGCTTACGCCCGAGTCAGGCTGCTCTCTGTGAGGGGCGGAGCTTGTACTCAAACACATGTTAAATTGATAGCTAAACCTTAGGAGTGATAAGGTACAGAAGGGACGTAATAACTATGATTCAAAGTCGCAAAACGCATAACCATTTCATTAAGTTTTTTAGGTCAGCCACAGTGTGTAAACACCTGTGTTCTCTGTGTAGTTTACATACAGCCCTTCAAAAGTATGTTTTCCTTTCATTAGGCTATATGAGCTCCACATAAACCCTAAGACCGCTGTTAAACCAAACCTGACTCAAGTTCGCAGCTATTACTTCAAAAACCCACAAAATTGTTTTTAAAACTCTGTAAATCCTAGAAATCTTCTGTTGTCTTTGAAAAGAGAACAGAATTAACATTAGTGCATTTTTCCCACACTTTTGCCCTGCCTCCCCCCCCAGGGTAGCTTGTTGCCCCTGGGAGGGGACCCGCCCCCTGCTTTGAAAACCACTGCCATGTAACAAACAAACTGCCATGCAACCAAGTTAAGATTGAAAATTATAAAATTTCAGAATTTAAACTTTACACTTTAGGACATTGACTGACGCCCATGTATGTACAGTATATTTTAATATTTTGTTTTATAATATACTATAATTGTATTTTGGTATAAATATACTTAAATTAATAAAAATAGTATTGCAAAATAAGTAAATCATTCAGTCATGTGACTCTACCTCTGCTAAATGATTGTGGCCAAGGATGGAAACTGCTGCTGCTGAATGTGTGCAGCCGTCGATGCTCATTCCAGCATTAAAAACATCCAGCGTAAAACATTAAAGACATTATCAGGCAGGAAAAAAAAACATTTTACTGGACATGTTCAGTCTGAGCTGCATTTGAAAAAGTGTTTCTTAGCGCTGTATCATGCAAAGCAGAAGCCCCTACAACAATTTGGTGCAGAGATCCTGCCAAGTTCTCCCAGTCTGAGTTCATCTGAGATCGATCAAAAGACAATGGCATTGTGTTCTGTGGTCAGATGAGTCAGCAATACTGTTTGATTTTGAGAAAAAACAGGCTCTGGGTGAGATGACAAGAGAATCCAGACGGTTGAAGACCAAAGGTTGGAAAGGAAACATCTGTGCTGGTACAGGGACATGTGCAATTTGTAGTTAAAAGAAACTTTTTTCTTTGTAGTTGCCCCTTTTATACTCAGTCTTGATACTGATCAACTACTAGTGATGATGATGGATCTTTTTTATAATGGATTGACTAACAACTAATCACGATTAGTCACAGTCATAACTCTGACATTAATCAGCAGATACATGTAAGACGGGTTTTCTTTGCCTGTTTTTATTCATGGCTAATCCAAATAATGAAAATATTATTTATGCTCAAGTATACCTCAAATCCTCGCAGAAAATCAATAATAACCATGTTTGTGGATTTTCTTCATTTCTTGCGTGTCTCAGCGTGTCAACAGTCGGCTTGTCAATCGTCCACTTTTCTTTTGCCTAGCGCTCAGTGAGGCGTTAAAGCCTCTGCTGGACGAGGTGGTATTTTAATTTGTCCTGTGTGTATGAATGTGTGTATCAACTAGAGTAGAGTAGTTGACTAGTGTTAACTTCAGTAACTTAAACCTAAAGTGAATGGGGAGTGTGGAATTATTGGATATACAGTTCTCCCTAATGCGATAAATTTCATTGAACATTTATTTTTGCGATTGTATGTCAGTTACGACAACTGAGTTAGCAACATATAGCAAGAAGCATTAGCTCAGTCACTGATTCGATTTAATTCGTTTCTTTCTATTTTAGTTTCTTTCTGCTCAGCGTTTTGTTTCGCAGATTCCTTACTGGGGCAGTGGTGGCTTAGGAGTTAAGAAAGCAGACTTGGGTCTGGAAGGCTTCAGGTTCGAGGCCACCAGTGTTTCCTGGCTATCTTATCTAAGTTATCACTGAGTTCCTCTCAGCATGGCACCGTCCCCCACACACTGCTCCCCAAAGCTGACCACTGTTCACTTTGGTGATGGGTTAAAAGCACAGGTCACATTTCTTGGTGTGCAGTGGCGTGCTGTGTCACAATGACAACAAGTTCACTTTCTTTTTCTGCGTGTTTAACACACATTCCTCACACATTGTTGTCAGGGTCAGAGGACAAAAATGAACCGATTTCCACACACTCTGCGTGGTATAATTTATATCAACATTTGAAATCCTATTTTTCTAATGGTTTCGTTCTTCTTGTCTTTGTCAGAGTTCGTTGTCATCCACAATGGTATCATCACCAACTACAAAGAGCTGAAGGCTTACCTGGTAAGTCCTCAGATCCCATTCTCCAAATTACATTCATCTTTAATTTTTTTTTCCGGCCCAGACCTGTTGTGCTGGTCCTTCTTAAAACAGGAAATCACACATTAAAGAGGTTTCGTTATCTGATCTATTGTCTAAAAGCTTTACGTTCCTTTTGTGGGTTTAAGAAAAGTTCAGAATTGGTCACACTTAATGCAACATCAGATCCCGACACTCAGATCTATTTTCCTCGGGCGAATAAAAAAACAAACACAATCTCTGCCTGCCGGAATGTTCTAAAGGTTCTAATGTGTGGAGACTGCAGCGATGTGTCCTTTGTCATTGGGTTTCTGTGTGCGTCTGTGTGAGTTTTGGCTCGAGAGAGAAGGAAAAAAAAAGGGGTGTGAGGAGATGAATGAATCATTGCACCATTATAACTACTGTGACATGCAGCACAGACTCAACAATAAGAAAAAAAAAAAACAGTGGCAATCATGTGGTGATGAGTGTTAGTCAGCGATATGAGTCCCATGACGTGAAATCCTCTGAAGGTGTTAATGCCCTGATGTCTGCCGTGCTTCCTGGATGCATATTGTTTCTCATGTATTTAAAGGAATGTTGTTACCTTTGTCCTGAGATCAACTGGGTGAGTGACTTCTTTATGGCCAATTATGATGATGCATTCAGTGTTTGTCAGGTTGTATGTTGGAACACTGGAATTTTTGGTGTT